TGCATTAAGGATTCAGGAGATACTCACCATACGATGAAGAGATATGAAAACTCGCTTGCATATTTAAATAGATCATTAGAAATTGAACCAAATAACGCAGAAGCATTAAGAATTCGGGGCGGTACTTATCGTATGATGAAGAATCACTTGCAGATTTAAATGAACCATTAGAAATCGAAACAGATGATGCATCCGCCTTAAGAAGAAATTGAACAAAATAATGCTTTGCATTAAAAATTCGTGGAGATGCTTGTCGAATGACAAATAGATATTAAGAACCACGAAATTGAATAAAATAATGCATTTGCATTAAAAATTCGTGGAGATGCTTATCGAATAACGAATAGATATGAAGAATCACATGCAGATTTCAATAAATCATTAGAATTTGAACCAACTAATGTATTTGCATTAGGAATTCTTGGAGATACTTATCGCATGATGAATAGATATAAGTCTTTAGAAATTGACCCAAAAAATCAGAAGCATCAAGCATAATGAAAGGATATGGAAGATCACTTATAGATGTAAATAAATTATTAGAAATTGAACTAAATAACGCATTTGCATTAAAAATTCGTGGCGATGCTTTGTATGAATTCATGGAGATACTCATCATAAGATGAAAAGATATAAAAGGTCACTTGTAGAAATTGAATCAAATAATGCATTTGCATTAAGGGTTCGCGGAGATTCACCATATGATGAAAAGATATGAACAATCTGAACCAAAGAATGTAGAAGCATTAAGAATTCATGGCGGTACTTATCGTATGACGAATATATAAAGAATCACTTGTGGATTGAGATGAATTATTAGAAATCGAACCAGATAACACATCTGCTTTGAGAGGACATGGGGAAAAGACTTATCACACAAATTCATGGTGACATTTATCGCAAAAAAAAAAAAAAAAGAAACTAAGGCGAAAGACAAGATATGTATACAGATAAGGAATATTAAATGAGAAAAATAGGAATATATATATATCACCTTCTCACGATTCTCTTTTTGCTCCCATAGTGTATCTTCTTCGATTAAATAAATTTGAATTGATCCGAGCGAGAATAATAACCTGCATCAAGTTTTAAATATACATCACGTTGAAATTATCAAGTCAATACTGAAGATGCTAAATGAAATTCTCTCGAGAGCCTCAGAAAAAGACGATTTTTACAAGAAACAAAGAAAAGGTAGTTTTGCTTCGCTAGAGTTGGATTAAGGGGCATCCTGACAGGTTCGGCCTGATTCCGGATGTCCCGAGTGATGTTAAGGCAGCTCCTACTCGGAGTTGTTCCTTAATATTTGCTATTTTTCGATATACTTGGTGGAAGAGGCCTCTAGTTCAAGTTTCTACTTGATACTGGGGGTATGCAGGATTCTCTGTCCCGAGTGAGTGTCGAGGCAGCTTCTATGAAGTTGGTTCCCTTGATATTAGCTTCGCCCAGGAGAAGTGTCATTTATTTATTTCTCCTTGGCGTAAGGGGCCTCTTGACACGTTTCGTGATTCCAGAGGAATGCAGAGTTTTCTGTCTCGAGTGGTGTTAAGTCTCGGCTCAGCATATTCTTAACATTGCGACCCGCCTTGTTTTCGAGAAATTTCCGATGGTATTTGGTGTTGCGATTCTACTGTTAATTTTTTTTTTAAATTACACAATAGATTACTTCGGAACGTCATATGAAGGATTATTGGGAAAAAATGGTCACTAAAGCGAAGGAGATAACTTACCGAGTAAATTACTACACCTTCCGACGACCGTGCTCATGTTTATATTTTGATTAAATAAGTATTAATTTTTTGAACTATAATTAAACGAATTGCTATTGCAAAAATAAAATAAGTAATTATGATCTGCAAAAATTTGAGCTTTTAAAAATTAGGGTCGACGGGTAATACGAAACGAAAAAATTAACTCTGCGTAGCCTAAAATCGAAGGTCATGAAGTATAGTTGTTAGGCGAAACCTAGAGGTTTCGCCAAAAAAAAATTAAAAAGACGAAATGGTGAAACTGGCGAAACCTGACGAAACTGGCGAAACCTGGCAAATTGGCGAAACCTGGCGAAACTAATAAAAGATGGCGAAACTAATAAAAGTAAGAGTTAATTAAAGAAAGTTAACTCTTTTATATGTTGTACATCAGAACGGAATTATTGTAGATTTAGAATCCAACTCAGGTTGGAATGGAATTCCAAATATAGCCCAAGTTGATTTGAAATTTAAAAGCAACTTAAGTTTAATTCTAAATTTGATACTGTAAAAATTGATAAATTTAATAGCGGCTTAAGTTAATTTTAAATTTTGATATTGCAATAAATTTTTAAGCGATTGACGTAACGATAGTTAAATTATCGTATAAATTACATCTATCGTTGTAATAAAGTTCAAGATAAAATATAAATTTTTTATATTTTCTTATTCTTATTTCACTTGTTCGTTCTTTGTAAAACTCTCTACCCGATGACTGAATTTCAAGATTATCCATTTTTGCCTCGTAAGTCGGCATAAACCATGAAGACTTTGTTTGATGTTTGTATTTAGGTTTTACACGATCTAGCAGATACAAGTACAGCAATTAAAAGACACTTACCTGCAAGATCCCCGAAGTTTTGGAGAATGACTTATATAAATTTGAATAAAAATCTGGCATTATTAGAATTAGTATAATTTAAGTTAATTTCTTCTGTTGGGTTTTGATAAGTTTCCAAAATCAAATAATATTACATTATTGAGTAGTCGCGCATTAATATATCTAAGTATGGGCAGGTATGAAGAATCACTCGAAGATTTAAATAAATTTTTAGAAATCAACCCAAATGACACTACAGTATTCTGTAATCGCGGACAATTATATCAAGAGATTGGCAGATATGAAAAATCACTTTCTGATTTTTGTAAAGCATTGGAACTTGAGCCAACTAATGTCATCATATTGAATATTTGTGGACTAGCATATAAAGAGTATATCAGGGCGGCCCCCCAAAGTTCGGGTCGATGATCGACATCGGGCGTCGGATCGATGATCGACATTACTGCCGCAGCTTATCGCGATTATCCACCGCCATTGTCGTAAACAATCATCGACCCGGCATTGATCATCGACCCGGACTTTGGGGGGGGCGAGTTAGCCAGGGCGGCCCCCCCAAAGTGCCAGTGACGTAGATCATGGGCGCAGCCGCAGCCGCAGCAAAATGATCTTCACCAATCAGGTAATACTATATATATTAAGGTTCACGATGTCGATAATCGATTAAAGTTTTCGAGTTTTTCGGGTATCGTTCGCACACTTGAGTTATTAACACGACACATTTGTTAGAAGCAGTTCCAATTTCAAATATTCGAATAATGTCATTGAAATATTCAAATATTTCAAATAAGTATCGTTGAAATGAAGTTCTATTGCAATGCAAGAAGAGTGCTAAGAAAATCGCTGCTGAAAAGTTATGTATTACTAGTTTACAACTGTTTTTTATAATTAAAAACTTACGATTTATTACTCATTCGCTTGTACTTTTGGTGGAAGCTTTCAACTTTTGACAGAAGTATTGGTGCACTGAAATATTTTCAAGAATCTTGTGTTGTAAGTCGAAGTAGTACTTTATGAATTTTATCATAGATCCGATAAAGGGAAATGCGCACAATCTTGGAGATACAACGTATTTCCAGTTTAGTGTCAAACATGGATCCCACAAAGCAAAAGAGAATGGACAGGACAAGACAAGGAACTTAATATTTCAAATTTTCGGGTTTGCAATTTCACTGTGACCGATTTATTCACTTATAAGTACTTTAGCATGTTTTATTTTATTCGCATATTTGTCTCTTAAGCTTTTTTACTAATATAAAATTGGAAATTCCAGAGCTGGAGATTAAAGAAAATATATGAATAATTATTTGGTCTTATGAGAATGAGAACGATGCATTCGTTAAATGAATTTTGTAATTAAGTTATATCTGGCACACTAAATAAAATACTTTTGGTGGGAGTTTACATCTTTTTATTCGATATTTTCTAATTTATTAAATGTATTTTTAACCATTCTTTTTTAATAAATGTATTGTTATTTTCTTTTTTAAGTAAATGTATTGTTATTTTCTTTTTTATGTAAATGTATTGTTGTTAATTATTTATTAAAGTAATACTGTACATTGTCGCTTATTAAATAAAAAACAATCATTAATAACTCATTATTGCTATTGTTCTTTCTTTATTACCGTGTCTATATAAAGAATATCAATTATCTTTTCACGCCTTATCTTCTACGTTCGAGTTCTATGTACGCTAGATCCTTGCTATTTTTTAATTGCGATTTAAAAAAGAAAAAATATATAAACTTCGATAGAATCACAAAAAAGAAATAAACATAAAATAAATAAATAAAATAAATATCTCAATTAGTGATGGGACCTCCCGCATTATTAATAATTAATAATAATTATTAACTTCATGCACGAGTTATTAACTAAAAACTA